AAATAAAGTAGGAGTCCTCAAACTTTTTAAACAGAGGCCAGTTCACCGTCCCTCAGACCGTTGGAGGGCCAGACTGTGGGCCCCGGGACAAGTCAGCTGTTAAGCAGGACAGGCAGCAGTGGCAAAAACGCCCAGCAGGCCAGATAAATGTCCTAGGCCGGCTGCAGGTGGCCCGCAGGCTGTACTTCGAGGACACCTGATCTAAAGTATGAAATGATGTGTATATTCCAGCCTCTACTGCATAATTCAAATCTGGCTGTTTTTTTAATAGTAGAAAATCATTTTTCTACTATTATTAAATGATTAAAATATTCTTTGCTGATCTCTCATATTTTTTTAATTCTTCACATAGCCTCTTTTTTTTTTTTCCTTTCTTTATAATTTTTGGGAAGTAGGCATGGAGGACTCATACCATTTATGCAGATTACCAGCTTTGATTCTCCTAGTCAATGAGCAAAAATCCGTTTGAAGTAAGACTCTCCCTAATTGCTGCCTTTTTACAGGCAGGTAAGAACAGTGAAATTCAATTGCTCAGGACAGTTCTTTGGAAGAGTGTGGCATTCTGGGCAAACCATTCTCCCGGAATGTCTCAGCCATATTTCCTTATAACAGATATGAAGCACTGCCTTTTCTTTGCCTCCGTTACAAGGCAGTGTGCACAAACCCACATTTAAATCATCTGTGGCATTTTGCTGAATGCAGCTAGGAAAGATCCAGCAGAACCCACTGATAAACACCTGAGAATTAACCTCAAAGAAAAAAATAGAATTTTTAAGGCAGTGTTCAGGTTCAGGAGACATACCACACTGAATAATCATACGCCAAAATTACAATCACAATAGAACTAAACATAGTTATTACTTCCTGCCCAAAACATGCTCACATGGTTGTGAGATCATAGCATCAAGATTTACATCTTCAGATGTGTCTTTGGGATTTTTATCTTCTGACATTTTCTCAATGTGTTTTAGTGAAGAGTCTTTCACCATCGCCTGAGTCCTCGGCATCACCAGTTCCATCCACTCAGCCGCAGCTGACAGAAGGATCTCATTTCATGTGTGTGTAGTCTCAGAAGAAGTACGTCCTTTCCCTTTGTATTTGTGCCTTGCCGTTAAAGTTTTTACTTGAGTGTTATTCATCTGTGGATGTAGTGAATCAAGACTGAGATTAACTCTGGGTTGTACGTGAGAGAATTTGGCAGAACACACTGGACATGTCTTGGAGCCAGGGCAGCGACTCAGGTCTCCAGCCATGGCCCTCCCAGTGATTTGCTATGTGACAGCATTTTCTGTCTCTTATTTCAACGTCCATTAAAAATAGCAAAACTTGGAGGGTATGGCCTGCACCAAGACAAGCCTCAGGGTATTTGGCAGCTGTGCTTGTACTCAGGGTTCCTCTCCATAGTCGGATCTAAGAATTCTGGTGAAGTTATTACATGTTGATTGTGTAATGTTCTTTACAGTTAGTATGACGTATCTGCCTCATTGGGAATATGTTAATTTTTTGAAAGGACAAAGAAATGTTCATGTATATGTATAGCCAACTTGATGGAACAGTGAAGTCTTTGAGATCTGGCTCATTGCTGTAACTCAGTGGTTATGGCTCCAGCCACATACACCTGCAACAAAAAAATAGCCAGGCATTGTGGCGGGTGCCTATAGTCCCAGCTACTTGGGAGGCTAAGCAAGAGAATTCCTTGAGCCCAAGAGCATGAGATTGCTGTGAGCTATGATGCCACGGCACTCTACTGAGGGCAACATAGTGAAAATCTGTCTCAAAATAAAAAATCTTTAAGATCTAATTTCTTAAGAAATTATTTGTAAATAATTGAATCTTTTTAAGTGAAGGAGGTAGGTACTAAAGAAAGCCGCAGATGGGGACAGGAAAAAGTGAGAATAATTCCCTTGGTTCTTTCGTCTAAACTTTGTAGACAAGCCTGGCATGGTAGCATGTACTGAGGAGGCTGTGATGGAAGGATCAGTTGAGACACTGGTGAACTACAATAGTACCACTGCCCTCCACGTGCATGACATAGCCATGTCTTTAAAATAAAATAAACTTTATAGACAATTGCTAATTTTTGCCTATAATTTTGTAGTTATAATTTAAACCCTTATATTTTACTCTTTATAAAATCTATAAGGGCA